CGGCGATGGAAGCATAGCCAAGTCCTTGTCGACTTTCTGGTCCAGATTTGTCAGTCACTACCTGCCCAGCTCACAGGAGAGACATAAGTGGCGGAAGGATGGGAAATACCTTGCACCTAATGAAGTGGTCCTCATCGTTGATCCCCGAGCTTTATGGCCTGTTGGTAAGGTGACAAGATACTTACCCTGGAGCAGATGGACACATCCGGACCGCCGCCGTGAAGGTCAAAGATTGGACATACATTAGACCAGTAGCCCGCTTGGTCCCGCTCCCGAAGCTCGAAGATGATGAAATCGGAGATCCACCTATTTGAGTGGTCTTTCTACCTTGATTCGGCTGTGCTAGAAAGCTCACGTTATTGTATGTTGTTGTCTTTTCTTAGTTATGTGGCATTCATTAAGTGTCATTCGTTAATTCTTTGTTTGCATTGTAATTTGTATTTTTCCCACGTTATTGAATGCATCAGAGTTGTACTGACGCTCCTTGAATGCACTTCACCCGTAGCGAGACGCGATGCTGTGAGAGCCGTTAGCTTCTCAAGACAGGTAGCTGCCGATAGCGGATGGGTTTTTCCAGGCTTGTTTGAGTCCATCCACCCGTTTCTTTGAGTTATTGCTGTGTGTAAATGCCAAAAGACCGCAGCTGAATAAATCAATAACATCTGAACCAGGAGTCCATTTCCGTGTTCTCTAACCGGGACACACACATCCATACTTTACCGCTCTAAACCAACTAGTTTCCAGGAGAAACCACATTCTCCGTTTTACAAGGTGTGTCCTCTAATTAGCATCACAGGTGTCTACAAACTTGTAATCAATCAGTCGGCCTAGTCTCTGTGCTGTTTGGTGACATGGTGTGTACCACACTAAACATGGACCAGAGGAAGCGAAGGAGAAAGTTGTCTCAGAAGAGTAGAAAGAACATTGTAGACAAGCATGTTAAAGGTAAAGGCTATAAGACCATCTCTAAGCAGCTTGATGTTCCTGTGACTACAGTTGCACATATTATTCAGAAATTTAAGATCCACAGGGCTCTAGCCAACCTCCCCGGACGTGGCCGCAGGAGGAAAATTGATGACAAATCGAAGAGACGGATAATATGAATGGTAACAAAAGAGGCCAGAACACCCTCTAAAGACATGAAAAGTGAACTCCAAGATCAAGGTACATCAGTGTCAAATCGCACCATCCGTCGTTGTTTCAGGCAAAGTGGATTTAATGGGAGATGATCAAGGAAGACACTGTCGTTGAAAACAAATCATGAAAAAGCCAGAGTGGAAATTGCCAAACTGCATGCTGACAAGCCACAAAGCTTCTGGGAGAATGTCCTATGGACAGACGAGACAAAACTGGAACTTTTTGGCAAGGCACATCAGCTCTATGTTCACAGACACAAAAATGAAGCATATCAAGAAAAGAACACTGTCCCTGCTGTGGAACATGGAGGAGGCTCTGTTATGTTCTGGGGCTGCTTTGCTGCGTCTGGCACAGGGTGTCTTGAATCTGTGCAGGGTACAATGAAATTTCCAAGACTATCAAGGTATTCTAGAGAGAAATGTGCTGCCCAGTGTCAGAAAGCTTGGTCTCAGTCGCAGGTCATGGGTCTTGCAACAGGATAATGACCCAAAACACACAGATAAAAACACCCAAGAATGGCTCAGAGGAAAACATTGGACTATTCTGAAGTGGCCTTCTATGAGCCCTGATCAAAATCCTATTGAACATCTGTGGAAGGAGCTGAAACATGGCGTCTGGAGAAGGCAGCCTTCAAACCTGAGACAACTGGAGCAGTCTGCTCATGAAGAGTGGAAGAGACAGTTACAGAAATCATTTGATTGCAGTGATTGCCTCAAAAGGTTGTGCAACAAAATATTAAGTTAAGGGTACCATCATTTTTGTCCAGGCCTGTTTCACGAGTTTATTTTTTAAAAATAACTCTGCTGAACCACGGTTCAAAAGCAATGTCTGATTTTGAACACTGATCAGTGTCATTCAGTTTACCCGTCAGGTTTTAATGTTGTGGCAGAGTACTGTGTATGATAACACTAGGGCTGAGCCCGAATAGCCGACTATTCGTTCGCTGTGCTGGAATCGGGATGTCAAACTGGCTCTCCGAATATCCCCGCCACCGCGGAAACGGAGCCGTGTCACCGCCAACCTAAACACAGAAACTGGCCTTTGTAGCCAAATGCGGCCTGTGCGTCGCATCACGCTCACTCCAGTTCGTAGCCCGAGCGCGCCCGAGCGCGCCCGAGCGCGCCCGAGCGCGCCACCTCCCCCCCGTCGACAAGAAAAGGCAGCTGCCACCACCGCGCGGCACCTCCAAATATTCGGGATATTCGTCATTAATTGGGACCGAATGTCCAGAGATCAGAAATTGCTATTAGGACCAGCCCTAGATAACACATCAGTCAGAGAGACTAAACCAGTACTTTTACTTTAATACTTTAACTACATTTTGCTGCAAACACTTATAATTGATATTTACACTGTATTAATTCATGCTAATCGTAAACACTGACTACTGCAGAGTACCGTACCTTGATTCACCTTCAGCCAGATATCCAACTGGACTGCTCTCAAGAAGATGTTCAGCTTCACTTCTTCTGCTGAAAAGACAGACCACTTTAGGCAACACTGTAGACCAAGACCGCAGGTACAGAGGGGAGCAAAACATTTTAAAAAACCACAGTAATCAGCTCAAATATGTTGATGTGACATTTGAAGAAACAAAAAAATGAGGGATGTCTGTTATTGGCTTTTGTTTTGCTAATATCCGATATGCTGAGATTGTCCCACTCTCAATTTGAGATTCCAATATCGAATGATATCGATACCAATATATTTGTTACTGCAGCCACTCTTGTTTACACACTTCACAACGCAGTTTGATGTCATCACTGTTTGCGCGCCGGTAAATGCCAGCAAAATTCCGGCATTATTTTATCGGTTAAGGTAAAGGCAAAACTTTTTTAAGAAAGGTAACGATTTTGGCAGATATTACATTTTATGCAAATATCAAGCTGCTAATTTTTTTTTTTACAGATGTCCGATAATGTCAGCCCACCCATATTCTTGGACATCCATTAAAAAAAAAAGAGAGAGATGAGTAATTTACCTCATGTAGAGAAATGCTTGCTTGCCTGATATTTCAGGCTCACTCTTGCGTAAAGAGGTAGATCTGAGTGACAAAACATACATGGCTTAGATTTGTACACAACTCGACTGACACAGAGTGTGTGTGTTTGCTAACTTTAGTGGTTGAAAAGGTGACAGTTCTGAAACTTCTGTCATTTTTAGTCACAGTATGATAAATGATAAGGAAGTGAAAACTGTACTGCATTACATTTCTAAAGACATGATGGTTACATACAGTACTTGTTCTGCATAAGCATTTGAAGTTTCAGGCCTCTCCTTAGGTCGACAGTCATTCAGCTCTTCAGTCTGATCAGCCTGGGAAAAAACAAACCGTGGATTTCAGGGTTCAGGAATTTCTGACCAATTTGTGAAGCTGTTTGTAGTTGTTTTTTCTCCAAATCATTGATAAAACTCTTTGATCAAAACGATCAATTAAAACAGATTACTTTGCTTTGTGTTCCACTGGGAATACATTTTGCCTTCAAGATCAATGTCACAAGTTGGACTCTGAGCACAAAATATCCTGTATATTATGCTAAAATTTGACAAAAAAAACACTAAATATACCCAAAATCTATGATAAAAAGTTTTTCAGAGATCCTCAGAGATTGCCGAGCAGAAATGTTTCCAAAACTTTGATGATCTGAGATGGAATAACCCATATCCAGACTAACTTTTCAAATGGTAGCTCTGGTGTTACCAACTTGCCCCACTCCCTTATACTGGTTCAGCATTGCCACAGCTATTAATGCACCATGCAGCTAATAAATATTGTTTTTGCATAACTTGGTTATGTTGCGTTGATTTTCAGTGATACAAGACTTGATATTTGTAAAATGTTTCATTCTGAAAATATACTTATTCTGTCACCAGTCCTCTTCTGACATTACTCATTAACTGGACACAGGCTAAACACTTGCTGAACATGTGTATGAGCTGATGCTACATTTTACCAATGTTCCGTAAACGCCTCACATGCTGCTCCGGTAGATGCTACCAGGTGGCTGCAGTGCAGCTCCTCTGACTGGTAAGTGATCGGACATAAGTTGGAAAATACGTTCTACACAAATTTGCCCACGTTGAAAAGTTTTCTATTAGCAGAGTTTTTTTATGAACAGACTTTTCTGCAAGTGAAGCGCATTTTAAATGTCCATAACACTGGCCATCATGTTTATATATTCAGAATTGTGATCGCTGTTCAAATGTGAACCTTCAGACTGAATGTGGGGCTACCTTTTCTTCCTAACTGACTCAGTCAAGATCTCTCTGCCTGCACCTGAACATTTTCATCATCAGGTGTGTCGGACCTCTCCCTCTCTCACCTCGTGTTTTTTTTTTTTTTTTTTTTTTTAATAATCGGCTATATATCATTTTATCATTGGAACACAGTTACAGTGAAACTGACCTTTGTCAGACAGAGAGAGAGAATGAGGAAGAAATATGACTGTTTCCAACCCCAATAACTGGAGCAGCAGCTGCCTGTGCTGATAGAAGGAACCAGATCAGCCTGATGATCATCATTCACTCACACAATGAGACCATGTGAAATTTTAACTTGCACATGCTCAAAAAATGGTCACATGTGCCATTTTGGTCGCAGTCTGGAGCCCTGATAATAGCAAGTTCAAATATGTGCAAAAAACTGTACTGAAGATTCTTCAAAGCACTGCTTTTTACCTTGAAAAATGTACTCACAGTGGGAGCTGCCTGTTGGAAGCAACTGCTAGGATTCAGAAACTTCTGGAACCTGTGGGAGATGGAGGTGCTCTGTCAGTAACAACCAGTCAGAAAAGACAGTGTACAACGTTGTTAGTTTCCGTCAATCACATGAAATGTACTGTGTGATTGAGACCAACTCTCACCTGAACAGATTTAGGTTTTTAGCCAGAGCTGAAGCCAGAGAAGAGTCAGTGTCCTCTGATGGGTCACTGAAACACAAGCAGGTCATGTTACTAAGATGTATACTGAACAAACTACATATACACCGACTAAACTCTCCCTAAAAATCTTCATTCCAAATGAGCGCTCACCTCTCTGTAGCAGCTGCAGCATCTGAGCCATTGCTGGACTGTATGCTGGGAGACAATTCTTGTTCTGTGATCTTCACCTGATGGTCTCCCTTGGAGGTCATTAGGTCATGCTGTTGGCTCTAAAGCAGCAGAGAAGGCCAAGGTCAAGACATGTGGATATATCCTGCAATACTAACAGTAAGACAGTGAGCAGAGCTACAGACCTTAGGTAGAGAAGAAGCTGTCAGCCAATCACCTGCACCAGCTCCAGCTAGACTCTGTGATGCCACTGAGGGTAAAACCAGATCAGAATCAGCAACAGTCACTGTAAAACAAACTGCTTCCTTTCATATTAGAATTCACTCATAGGCATAGTGAGGAATGGGTAAAAACAAGCATCTGTTTGCCGTTCATTACCTATAACTGAGATAAATAAAACCAAAACCACCACAGTTGCTGTCTGGGAAGGACAGAGAAAAATAAAGTAGCTTTTTGAATCTACAGGGATCAGGCATTTAAACCTGGCTTAGTTGACATGGAACTGCATGTTTTCATATTTCTATTATTTGTGATCAATTGACAGATCATCCATGCTGGCATAGAGATTCGTAAATGTTCCTTAAAACAGAAGGTTCAACATCTGCAACAGAATGACAACTGCTGAAAATGTCATCAGGGAAGATCAAGTGATTTTGTCAACTATTTTCAAGATCAAGACTTAACCGACTCTTTTTTAAGGCTTTTTAATACCTGGATAAACCCTGACATATGAAGACCCCCAGTGTACCACTGCTGAATGTGTACAGCTTATGCTCTAGGACAGGGGTGGGCAATCCTGGTCCTCGAGGGTCACAATTCTGCATGTTTTAGATTTTTCTCTCTTCCAACACACCTGATTCAAATGATCAGGATCGTTATCAGGCTTCTGCAGAGCTTGATGATGAGCTGATCATTTGAATCAGATGTATTGGAAGAGACAAACATCTAAAACATGCAGGATTGTGGCCCTCGAGGACCAGGATTGCCCACCCCTGCTCTACGAGCTGTGAGCAGTCATATTTCTGTGTTTACCTAGAGGTGGTTGGCTTTGTGTTATTAGCTTGTTTGAGGCTGTAGAGATGGTTTGGGTTAAGATGCTGGAGGACAACATGACAGGCAATCGGTCCCCCTCATCCAGGCCCCCGCTGTCAGCAGAATCTCTGCTGTAATATGCAAACCTTTTAGCCACCAAGTCGTCATTCACACAGATCTGGAAAACAAAGTGAAATCCTGTTGTTATTGTTTTTCCAACCAGAAAAACACAAGGTCCAGTAACAATGTCTGTTAAAAATAAAGTTTATAACTCAGAGTTTACCTTGATGTTGCTAACAGTCAGGTAAAGCTCCATGGAGGTGGAGTCTGATTCAGATTCAAGCAACACAGCCTCTGTCTGAGTGGATGCTTTAAGATAACAATAGGTACATTTCAAAACAATTCCTCAATTTTGCAAATGTTTCAACATCACTGAGGTTTAAGGACACATCCAGTGTTGTTTCTAACATGTAGAGTTACTATGTAAAAGAACAACACCACAGCTATCAGGCAAGTTGCTCACCTTGCAGCAGGTTGTGCAGGTAGAGTGTGGCAGAGCTGTCCCATCGACTGGACTGACTGCAGAGAAAAACAAAGACATATCAAAGTAATACTAAAGTAAGAAAAGGAGGAAAAGATCTAAAAAGCCTGGACGGTTGTTCACACATCACAGCCTCTAAACCGTTTTTACTTAATGTTTTTTTTTTTTTTTAAAGTTCAGTTAATTCTTGAGCTTGTCTTACATGAGCTCTGCCTTCTCCTCATATACAGACACTCGCAGGGTTGTTGGTTTGATTCCTGCCAGGTGGAACTTCCTCACCCAGAAAGGCAGCTGTAAGAAGTTGGGCACTGCCAGTCGAATTCTAGTTCGTGGAATGATGAGAACATTGGAGTTAAAAATCCAGCAGCAAGGATGTCACTCACACACAGACACTCTTTTCATTGGGCAAAAACAGGGCTTTTGATCATGTTCTTAAAATTCACAAAATAATTTAGAATTAAGGCAAACAAACGCAAAATTAATATTCTCTTTACAACACTGACATTGACATGGCTGCTAATTTACAAAGTGTTTTTTTTTTTAAATTGGCATATGTTGGCACTTACACCCATACATAACACAATTCCTTCAACAATTCTCTGCCTTAGCAGTCTCAGGGCTTTATGCAGGCTACTGTATCTCACAGCATCAAACAGAGTAATGCTGCCACCTGTAGGTTACTATATTCCATCTAATCTCTTTATGACTGTCACACATCATTAAGATCATTTTGGTTCGGAAAACATGATTACTCTTTATTTCAAACCTCATACTAAACCATTCCTCTCACAGAGCAGCACTGCTAATGATGCCATTCATAGTACTAAATTGTCTGCTGGTTTCTGTCAGTAAAACCTGAATGTGGCCGCGAGCAGACGCCTCGAGAAGAAGCCTTTTTGAGAGGACTTTTTTGCGTGGCTGCTCTGTGCACTTCTGCTGTAACTGAAAATTTCTGAACTTTTCAGAAAGGCGTTGGTGTCGCCACTGGTGCTCTTTTTCAGGTCACCAATCATATCTATCACACAACAGAGGTTGGTGATATGTTGTCAAGATATTGTCATGGAAACAAAACTCCGCTTGGGAGCCCTTTACTGTTCAGGATAAGGAGATGCAAATATTTTTGCATCAAACCCAATAACATGAACATACTGTACATTTATAGTAAACAACTCTATGGTATGACAATAAAGGTTATATTATAAAGTCAAAAAGACTTTTAATCAACCTAGTCTTAAATAAATATATTTGTTCTTTTCAGGTATCATTGATGTGTCCCTGTGTTGAGAAGGACTGGTGCTGCTCTGGTCTTACTGATCTGAAGGAATGACAAGTCGTTGTCCGTGGTCAACCAGGAGGCAGCGAGCTTGGCAAGATATAGAGTCCATGTAGATGGACTCCACCACAGCCCGACACCATGACCTTATCGCTGTCCAGTACACCACACACACCTGAGAGAAAACATGTCAACACATACAGAATCCATCATTAGTCTAACTCGTGCTAAGTAACTAAGGTGTCATAAAAAGACACATAAGAACGTAGGTGATGACAAACTGCAGGTGTTTTATGATACCTGTCCTTTCACTAATGATGTGGGCTTTAGCTTGTGCAGGTCCTGGGTGACGTCATGGTAGAAGAGGTTCATCTGAGTCAGCATACTGTTGTATTGATCTGCGGTGTCTGTGTCTGCGCCAGAACCCCAAACAACCCGACCCCAGAGGCAAGACGGGTTGTCAACCTGCAAAGGTCAAAAGATAAAATTCCAACTGGCAGAAGAATCCGTGCACATCATTCTTTTGCTGAGATTACTTCCACTCCAAACTTTTATATTTCATACAAAGAGGGGAATACGGATTTCAGAAACTACATAACGTTGTGAACAAGATCTTTTGACTTTCACATTAAAATAAAATATAAAAAGAAAGACAAAAAAAACTCTAACAAATTCATCACATTAGCTGTGTACCATCCCTGTGCATCCTCATGCATGTGCATGAGACAAAGAAAATCGGGGCCCTCTGATAAAAGTACCAACTCTACCTGTAATCTACACTGAACTCAAAAAAGCTGATATGGTTTGTAAGAGAAGCATGCTTCCAATCTGTCCAGTCTAAAATCGCCCTATTGGATATTCTGTGGGAGGTTGGACCCTTCATGGCACCCATCAGGAGATGGGTTGGCTTTATGGACAAGTTCAGTATTTTACTAAAGAGAAAACACAGCTGTGCTGGAACAGTGGCTGCACATGTGAATCTATACAAGTTACTTACCCCTCTTCAATCATCGCAGTGACATACATTACATTTATACAATGTCTGGTTTTTCTCTAAAGGTCAACCTGATCAACCGACACTCCTTCACAACTAGGCTACATGGTAAAGACTACATTGTCTCACTGCAGCATCACACATTACTTGTCAGTTCTTATTTTTTTGCCCTCATTCAACTGTTTAAAATTACTGACTCCTTCAAGTTTTTTGTGCAACGAGTGAGCCCAGCGTTACTTTGAATCTCACTGTGCTTTGAATTAAAGTGCAGAATGACAAGGGACACACTCCACCATTGGTGAACATGTATAGTTACAGTTACGAAATCTTAGTTTTTTTACTTGGTCACCCTTGTTTCTTTTCCACTGAGACCTTCAGAGTTATAGGAGCCAGTTAGTACAGGTCTATAGGTGGGAGCAAATCTGTGTGTAGTCAGAGGGCTGTATGATGAAGCCAGATCAATGGGTTAGCCAGGCATGTTGAGCCTGAAGTGAGAGTTTTCAGTGTTATGCAGGTGGCTCTGTTTACCTGGCTAACTGTCCATGGAAACTGATGCTGTGGCGCTGACTGTCTGATGGGGTTTACTGGACATTTAAAGGTACTTTATAAGTACTGCACACTTTTTGCTAGGTCGTTTTGCCTTGTCACAACGCAACAACAACAAAAACTTAACTTAAAACGTTTTTGGAGAACACAAGCAGAATTACAACTAAACAGTGAAACTTTAAAGATTTTTGCGAATTAGAGTTTTAAAATCAACATGATTTATGTAAAGGAAGCACGCGGTGTTCGACAGCTAATTGGCAGCATTCACCTTACGTTGATTAAGCTAGTTGTCAAAAGCTAGCTTACCTTTAAAATTGATATTTTCTGCATTTCTTGGGTTCCTCAAGCGACACCAGCGTTTTCAAACAAAAGACTGCAAGAAAACAGAAAGATGCTGTAAGTCCCTGAAGGCAAATGACAGGAGACCTTTTTACACGTGAGACTGGCCGCGACTAGTTCATGCTAACTAGCTAGCTTGAACTAGTTAGCTCACCAACAGTTCACGAGTTCACTGGAAACAAACACTGGACTAATACTTACGACAGGTTTTACTTTAGGTACTCTTTTGATGTTCTTATTTTCGTTTACCGTCCACTTTAAACCGTGAAGTCCCGTTTCAGAGACTTCTGAGCACAGTGAATCAGCTAACCGACAGAACGAGGTGAAGCGGTCTTTAGAGGGCGCCTGCGGAGACACAAACCGTGTCCATCGCCTGTATAAAAGATGGACGTAGCAGCCGGCCCTGAAAAATGAAGCTAACCCGGAAATGTCAAAAACCTGCAGTATCACTACGTCCGCTAGTTGCTGGCTCCAATGAGCCCTGGCTCCCATAGACACCAATTGTAAATGAAGATCACGAAATACCGCTTTCCTACAGCTCAGGATTTATTTTCTCGTTAGTTTTCATGGTCAAATCCAGAGATTAGGTGGCCAATCTGAAAATAAATCAATACTGATTTTTTTTTTTTTTTTTTTTAATTGTCAAAATTGTGCTGGGCAAGGGGCGTGGCTGGCTTGATTGACAGTCTGGTCAGGAATGATTGACAGGTCATAGGAAGGAGGCAGCCTTGTGTCTCATTCAACATAAACTCAGGTCTCCTCGTCGTTTGGATTTACTTCTGATATAATTAACTGTTAGATTGTCGTTATTTACCAAGGTTAGCAGCACATTTTTCACAAAGTTTTCCGCTGGCTGGTTTTAACCAGTTTTCAGTTCACAGTAATTTGGACTTTCGACTGATTGAACCAGAGACACTTAAAGGATCCGTTCGGTAAATTTATTTTCTTATTGTTGCCAGTTTTAATGCACTTTAACCGCAACCATAGCCTCAGATGTAATGTATGCAGTAAACTCCAGAAGTTGGGGGAGTTTATTTCTGTGTGTATTGACCAGAGAAGAGAGTTAGCATCCAATAAATATTAGCTTTAATGTGAATTAGCGATGCTAACCGAGCTAGCTGAGCAGTCGTAGCCTGGTTAAAGTTAAATGTAGCTGCATCAGGCTAAGGATGTCTGTGTTGTGTTTCATGTAATCAGGCTAAAGTGTGTTGTGTTACTGTAATATGGTACATGGCGTTAACAAAACCTTCCGTGGTTCACGTTAACGTAACGTTTAGGGAACTTAAATGTGATTAGAACAGTAACATTAAGGTTCTGTCAGTAGTCCTGAATATCTGCTGTCTGATGTTTAACTGGATAAAACTGTTCATCAACACTGATCTTTAACGTGTTGTTGTTTAATAACTGATGCACATGTTGTAGTTCTTCTTACTGCAGTGTAGATGGAAGAATAAACACCCAGAATAATACCAAAGTAGTGACTGACATTACAGTTAAATATAACATTTAAAATGCAGCACAGAGAGGCTTAAGAAAAATAAAATCTTCTTTCCTAACTGTGAAGCAACTACAGGCCTTTCTTTCTTTAGGTACTTTGAAAACTATACATGAAAAAAGAAATGTTTCCAGGGTTAATTAAAATTAACCTCTGCTGTTGATGCTGTGATGTCTGTCTTCACCTCAGGTGTGTCTCATGTCCACTGAAGATCTTCTGATTGAAGCCAGGAGAAGGAACACCTCATCTGGGGCCGTTCATCTGGTTGTGAAGGAGACTGAATGGACATCATCCTCAGTGAACCACTTCCAGTTCAGCTTTCACTTACAGAAGTACTGTTTCAGCAGTTTGTTATTCTCTGTTCTCAGTATTCACAGGTTCCATTTATCGCCTTTAACTTCATCTCTGCTGTTGTTGCATCAGTACAATACGGAGAACATGTTGCCATCATTTACCGCAGAGATGCAGCATTGAAACATGAACACATTCAGGACAAGAGCTTCATTAACGCCTTTATTGCACATTTAAAAGTACATTATTTAAAAAATTCTGAACTGGAAAGATGTGTCAAAGTATGTAATAGATGGATGAAATAAATGTGTTGCCCAGCTTAGAGTGGAGTGTAAATGCTTAACAGTTATAAGATAAGTGTGCTCTATGAAGACAAGGAGCTGAAGTTCAACATTATTGTTGTTATTGGAATAGATGAGGAGGACATCAGTGCTGCTCTTCCTCACAGGGATGAAGGAGGAGAGAAGACTCTTCACCACAGCCACAACATTAAAACCTCTGGCACGTTAGAGAATAACACTGATCATCTTGTGACGATGCAATGCGCTGGTGGAAAACCTCAGGTCCTAGCATTCATGGGGATTTTACTTTGACACACACCACTCACCTAAGCTTCTCAGGAAAATGACAGATCTAAAGCACTGGCACTGACCCAGCCTCCAAACTTCCCAGGAACCAGTCCAATCAAGCATCCACAGGATGTGCCTAAACATGTCCAACCCATGGAGGCCCCACAACCCTCAGGACCAATGGGTCCTCCAGAGTCCCAGTCCATGCCTTGACAGATCAGAGCTCTTTTGACAGCATGAAAGGAACTTATAAAATAATTGGCAGGTAGTTTAAATGCTGTGGCTGAGTGGTGTATACTGACATCTTTAAATTAGTGTACCAGACATGTGAAAACGTTTGACTTTTGTGTGTGTGTATAATATGAATAAAGAACAACAATATGTAAACATATATTTATTGAAGACATGATTGCACTAATCTTTTTTTTTTTTTTTTTTTTCCCATGGGCAAATGTGGTAGCTTGCACGGGTGGCCATAAGGGGTTATTAGTGAAAATAGTGAAATTTGTAGCTTCAAGAAAAGAAGAAGAAGCTATAGCACAAATGCAGAATTCCAAACCAACTACAATTATTCAAAAACATAACAGCTACATGATCATTGCTGATCGTGCTTTTCTTTTTGTTTGACTACACCTCCTCATCAAGGATCTCTGCCTACATCCAAGCTGTGAAATTTACCTGCACAGCATCGGCCACCACGCAGTTCTGTCTGTACAAAAAAAAAGAAACAGAAAGTTGTTTTTGGAAAATTATAATACAAAGCTTTTGATAACTTTTAATCACCAAGCCCTGTTGTATGCCAGTTTTGAGGCATGTAGGAGTTAACCCCTAAGAGGAGTTCGCTCTTGAAAATGACAAAAATCACAAAAAATTGAACAGTTATTTCAAAATGGCGGACTTCTTGTTGTGTTTACGGTATGGGTCCAAGAGGCTTTTTTGTGCGTCCTGATGTTTTCCATATGCCTACCAATTTTTGTAAACGTCGGTCAAACGTCCTGCGGGGGCTAATGGAGAAATTGCTGCAGGGGGCGCGATAGTGCCATTTTGCCAAACTGGCACACATTGTCTGTGGTTGAGCCGACAGTGACTCGTATGCTAATTTTGGTGAGTTTATGAGCATTCCAAAGCTGTTAAAAAATCCTTTCCGTGTCATAGCAACTATGTGTCGATATGGCAACACTGTTGATTGAAAATGCAAGCGATTCGCACTGTAGCATCATCAATGTAGGAAGACTTAGCTGACCAATTTTAAGAATGATATCACAAAGTTTAAAGCAATGGCACATGGAAGTGTAATGCCTAAAAACAGCCTGTTACCAATAGGTGGCGCTCTGACTGAATGGATTTGAGCATATGGATGTGATCAGGACAGCAGTCTGATCAAATATGAAAAGTTTGAGGCAGATTGGAGCATGTACAGGGTAGTTAGACAGTACTTCCTCTTTTATGACGAAGGATTAAAAATCAGAGGGCCTCCGTGGCCACGCCCTTTGACCTTTGCAGATGATTTTGACAACATTTTACCTTCAAGGTGTATTCTACATGCTACCCAAATTTCAGTGCTCTGTGACTTACCTCCGAGGAGGAGTTAGCTCAGGTTGGACAGACGAACAATCCAAAATGATGGACTTCCTGTTGGGTTTAGGGTATGGCTGTCACGACTTTTTTTGTTCGTCCTTACCTCCTCCATATACCGACCAAATTGTGTAGGTCGAGGTCAAATGTGCTTCAGATGGGACTCGGTTGAAATTTTCAAGGTGGCGCTGTGGAGCCATTTTGGCACTGACATGTCCAACTCCCTTAAAATATCAAAATTTTTGCCAGTCCTGATGTGTGTGGCGATTTCGGTGAGTTTTCATGCATGTTTAGGCCCTCAAAATCGCATTTCAAAAGTCAGTACAACAATTATCACAAGGGTTACAATGGGGTCCTACACACTCTAGTGCTCGGACCCTAATAATAACTCATG